AAAGAAAGAAAGAAAGAAAGAAAGAAAGAAAGAAAGAAAGAAAGAAGAAGGATGGAGTATCATGGCTTGTTTATTTATTGACTTATTGCTTTGTTTTGCTTTGAAAAAGGGACTTAATCTGTATCCCAGGATGGCCTCAAATTCTGAGCGGTTCTCTTGCCTCAGCTTCCTGCATGCTAGAATTAAAGGCATAAACCAAAACACCAAGGTTAACTTGGTATGTTTGTTTGTTTGTTTGTTTGTTTGTTTGTTTTAAAGATTTATTTATTTATTATGTATACATTATTCTGCCTGCATGCCAAAAGAAGGTGCCAGATCTCATTATAAATGGTTGTGAGCCACCATGTGGTTGGTTGCTGGGAATTGAACTCAGGACCTTCAGAAGAGCAGCCAGTGCTCTTAACGTCTGAGCCATCTCTCCGGCCCTAACTTGGTATATTTAAATTAAAACAAGCCATAATTCACTAAATGGACAAATTAAAAGGAAGTTATCAGAGCTAATATTTGTAAAGTATATGGTGCAAGAGTCATACCCTCAATACAAATGAATAGCCATCTTGGAAGCCAAAAGTTAGGAAAGGATATACCATACAACAAACATAACGTCTCCAGGACAGATCCATTAATGTCTGTAAGGCAGATCTGAAGACAGGACGCATCAAAAGAGAAAGAGAGTGGTGTTTTCATTGTGATAAAAGCATCATACCAGCAGAAAACATAATCATTCTAAATCTGTGTATACTAAATAGCATATAGGACATAAAACTTGATAGATCCAAAAGATGACACTTTCACAGTTTTGGTTGCAGATCTTAATACTACCTGTCAGGTCCCAAAGAAACCTGGGACAAGAAACACTCAGGCCCTGTGGCTCCTCTCAGGACTTCTCACTTTGTCCCCTACCCTAAACCTCTCCAGCCCAGGGACTGGGCCTCCCTTCCCCAGCTCCTCTCCTGCATAATCCAGCCATTTTGGCTGCATGCTCCCTTGGTCCTCCTCACTTGGCTCCTGGCTGGCTCCATTTTGGCCCGTGGTCCACACCTCTTCTCTTGGATGTTTGCCCTCTCTCCTCTTCTCTCTCTTCTCTTCTCTCACTCTCTCCCACCCCAGCTCTCTCTTCTCATGGCCAGGTGCAGTCTGGACCCTTCAGGTGCCTCTGGCTGAACACTCCCTCATATCAACTATAAAACCCTTTCCTCAGCCATATCTTGGAGCAGTCGTGTCCTCATTT